TATATATATATATATATATATATATATATATATATATATATATATATATATGTGTGTGTGTGTGTTTCGATAATAGCTTTGTTTTTGTTTTTGTTTTTTTTTTTTTTAGTTAAACTAAGTCGCAATTTTTATCTTTAGAGTGAAACAAGTATATAATTGAGCGTTGAAAGAAAAAAGAACGATGTTGCATTACAATGTAAATTCCAAGGACAAACCTAACATGATTTATCAGTTATAAACGTTGTATTGTGATAGTATAAGGTATGTAATTTATATAAATGAAGACAGCAGATGTAGCTTAAATTTCATGAAATTAATATTATCAATATTATTACACCTATAAATGATGACGCAATTCTTAATGGTTATGTTTAAAATTGACAGTACTAAGAATCTATAGTATATCGCAACATAATACTATATAGTTTATAACTATAGTTTTTTAGTGCTTTTTTAATGAATATTATAATGCAGCCATTGTAGGAACTCGCAACTCTCTAAATCCGATTGTTGCCGAGTCTTAAGGATTTACAGGAAAAGTACGAAAACCTTTCACACACATGCAGATTCGTGAAACAATTAAATTATTTTAGAAATTTCAACCAAAATATAAAGAAAATTACTATGTAATTGTGATATTTGTATACTTTTGCCTGCTTCATAATTTTCTACTAAAAGTTTTAATTATGACTCTGCAGACTCTTAACAAATCAATCATGTTAAATTAGCTATCCTATCATTTCGTCATTTTTATGAATATACTCCAAAAGGTAGCTAAATAGAAAGTCAATTTTTGCGAGCTAAATAAAAAAAGCTAAGTGTAGCTAAAAAATAACTAAGTTGGCAACACTGAATTAAACGTCATTATATTTTTATATTTTTAGGCGCTGTCCGTGCACAGCAATGACTTTCATGTTTCACATTTGTGACATTTGCATTCTAATGTCCGGTTCCATCAACGTCGATTAAGCCTTAACTGCGTTTAAACTCTTCAGAGAAAGATTTAAGCTCAGGTTAAAGTTTAAGCGACGTTTAAATTCATTGGTGAAACCGAACCTAAGAGTTAACCGATTGTTGTATTCGGGGACAAATTATATAACAAAATATAAAACTAATTTGTTGAGATTATATCTATTAATTTATTATTTTTAAAGATGGATTAATGAAAGAGAAGAGTCTCGATATATTTTATTAATTTATATTATTCCAGGTAGTATAAATATACCTAAAATAAAATACATGTTAGATACATCCTAAAGACGTCTGAAATAAATAGAATATTATTCAGACTTGAATATTATTGATAAAATCCTCTAAATATGATTTATAAACCTTCTATATACATTTAGTGATAGTAAGGGCTGTTTTTGTGGCCTAACGAGTGTTTAGTCAGGCCGCTAGTAAGGATGCTTTTGGTGCATCATTACAAATTGGACCGCGTTACAGTTCAAGCGGGTCGAGCGTTCCTTCCATATATCACGATATCCCAGATTCTCCTACGTATATTTTATGAGAACATAGAATGGGTTGAGGTGAACATAAAAGTCCTATACTGTTTTGCGATATTCGTAATAATATATTTACAATATTAACCGAGAAATTAAATGCAAAAGATTAAGGAAAAGCGTGCGCTGAATGGTAGAAGACGGAGCGCTCGAGTCATAGCGCATTCCAATAATATAGCGCGGATGTCGGTGCGCAGCAATTGAAAAAAACAACGTATTGCCTGTGCTTATAACGCTGCGCCTTAGCGTGGTGTGGCAAGATGTAGGAGCGCAGTGATATAATAATCGAGATATTAATCATGGAAGATTAAGATAAAATAAGAAAAAAACGCACACTGAATGGGAAGAAGTATTGATGCGATACGAAGAAACATAGAAGCGCAGCGATATAAATATAGGCAGCAGTGCGTTGTCCTTCCTTCCGTCGCACACCAGACATCCACGCTAGATGAGCTTGTAACGGCCGAATTCCGCTCTCGGTTATTTTCGGAGTTAGTCGCTGGATCTGTGCTCGCCGAAGCAGAGTTCAGTAGCAAAGAAACTTAAGGCGAAAATTATAAATAATAAAAATAAATGTATTTCTAAAAACAATAACAGTAAACTTGTTGGAGTAACTCACTACGCGTTCGGATTGCGATGAGATTGCGACGATGTCGCGATGAGAACGCTGAGATATCGGTGTCACTAACAGTCACTAGTGATTCACTAGCGGTCGGATTGCGATGAACTCGGTCTAGTCGTATGGTGGAGCGAAGCGTATAGCGTAAACGAGGATCGGTAGACTGCGCTCGCAAGATCGCGAGTTAGTGTCACGTTGGGACGGTTGGCACGCGGATTGCAAATGGTGATTGTATCGGTTCGGGCGCGACTTTAAACGAATTCGGACGTTTCAGGACGGCTCAGGCGATCGCCGCGGATGATAGTAAGCAATGCCTTGCTAAGCATGCGGATCGGCGAGATTGTCCGGTCGGCAAAGTTGCGGTGTTCAAGCGTCGACAGGTCGATCGAAGCAGCGAATTCATTGTCCCGGGTCTGTTCTTTGTCGATGGAGAACGAGTGTCAAGAACTCTCGACGGAGATAGCGAACGCACTATTTCTGATACTCGTTCAAATGGCGGCGCGCACGTAATCGCGAACATACGATTGTGTGACGCAATGTAACGGCTAGGTATCGAGAACGTCGGTCGAGATAGCAGACAACACACTACCTCGTGTCCGTGGCCATGGCGTCGATGAGTAAGTGCCGAGAATGCTCGATGGAGAAAGTGAACATATTATCTCCGGATCCGTGAATTAGCTACTTTACAATGATAAGCAATACGGTCTATGCTTTACTATCGGCTCGGAACATTTACTCCAGTAGCAAAATTTATTGGTTTTACATTGGCTAAACATTGGTTATCTTGGGAATACATTGGCTAATATTTTCCAATATTCAACCAATATTGGACATGGAATAATTAAAAATATATTACTAATATTGTACGTTAAATATTTATATAATATTGGATTTACATTGGAAATACTTTGGCCAATATTTCCCGATATAAAATTAATATTAATCTTAGAATAAATATTAATCTATTGCCAATATTATATATCAATAAATACGCAATATTGCATTTTGAAAATGCATTGAAAATGCATTGGCTAATACTTCCCAATGTAATATGAATATTACATATAGAATGAAAGCCAACATACGGCCAATGTTATGTTTCAACAATTGCACTAGCACTTGTGTTGGAAATGCAATAGTCAATATTGGCCAATATAATATCAATATTGATTATAGATTAAATGCTAATTTATTGCCAATATTACGTGTCAATAATAAGATGATATTGCATTTATATTGGCT